ACTCTTCTGGGCAAACACAGTGCCCAGCTCCAACCCGAAGCCTCTGGGCATTGGACAAGAATGGACGCATCATCAAATTCTAGCGAAAGGAGGGAGTGAGTGAGGAGTGGTTGGTCAGTTGACTCCCAGAATTCTACACTCAGCAGGGTAATAACAAGAGACCGACGGTTGCTAAATTCTTGTCCAGGATGCAAGGCCTTTGAGGCCTTCTCTCAAAGGAACTAACTTCTTATTCCTGTAGCAAATGATACTTAAGATGAGAGTGGTGAAGAGATAAGGATGGCAATGTTAATAAGAACATTAAGGACTTGATTTTTGCTCTTCACAGCACCACCGCCTGCCACTCAGAAAGACTATTCCGCACACACATCTCCATGCGTCCATCTCCGCACACACGTCCCCTCCTCCTGTGTGATGACAGACTTAACAAAGGGGTAGCAGAAAGATAAGGAAACTCCCTCTCAGTTTCAGAACGGGTATGGCAGGCCTTGCCAATGCTGCCAGAGGAGCGATTGCTCCCTGGCACTGGCCACGTCAAGGCTGTGTGAGGGGAAGTGACAACAACAGCCACGGGAATAACAACAGCTAACACCTGTGGGGCAGTAACTATGTGCCAGGCACCATGCTGAGCGCCTCATGTGCAGTATCTCACTGAGTCCTCTCGCGACCCTGTGAGGTGGGTACTAGAACCCAACATGGTTAAGTGACTAGCCCATGCTCACACAGTCAGTAAGCAGTAGGTCTGGATTGAGAACACAGAGAGCCCGTGCTTCCCACCCCCGACCCCAAGACAACCCAACTTCTCTGGAAGGATACTGGGTTAGATTGGAAGAGGAAAGGAAGCTTCAGGAAGGCCAGATGGACTGGGAAGCAGGAAGTTACCAGCACTGGGACAATAAAATGGTCCATCAGGAAAGTGGGAACCTAAGGCAAAGCTTGCTCAGCCTGGGCAAGCTGCTTAACCTCTTTCTTGTTGGTTTAAGAAATGTTCCAGCACTTTCCCTTGCAGACCCTCCTGCATGAAACACCTTTCTCTGAGCCTCCTTCTCCTCGTATAGATGGCTGGGGTCTCTGCCAAAAAACTCACCTTAGGACATGATTTCCCAGCCAAGAAGTCAGGGCACTCCCGGTGTGTCCCTATGGTGTTGCAACGTACTAGGGAGGGGGCAGGGAAAGAGGGCAGTGAGAGAGGGAAAATGATGGCGGGGGGAGGATATGTGTGTGTCCGGGTGTTTTTCTCCAGTGAAACACAACAAGAGCCAAGTTCCCCTCTCCACTCAGCCATGGGAGACACAGAAGTAGCAGAGCAAATATATGGCTAGTCCTTGCCCTTGCCCGGGTGGTCTGGGCAGAAACATATGGGACTCTCTAGACTCTTGGGTTCCCAACTGGCTGAAGAAAGGAAAATCTCTGTCCTCCACCTGAACCTCCCGGCTCTCAGAGAAATCTCAGAATCCTGGGAAAAGGTAGGACCCAACCAGCCCATGCCTGCTCTGAACACCACTGGTGCATCAGTTTTCCTGTCCCTTTGATGTCCTCTACCTCTCTTCCCCTCTCTCCACCCACCTCCTCCAGGGCCGGTGGGGTGGGGGGGGGGTGGACTCAAAATGAAATCCCCTCAGCTTGGGTGGCAAGGAAGCCTGTCTACCCTTTGTGTCTTAACCATACACGCAGGGCTCCCGGGGCTCCCGGTCTGGGCCAGCCACTTTCTATCTCCTGGACTGGAGATCGGGGCTTTGCGCTGAGCCACCCACACTGGCTGACCTGTTCTTTTATGTGCCATGCATTTGCCAAACAATTATCCAGGCTTCGAAGGTCAGTCTGTGGACAGGGAAGACAGAGAAAGGCGTCTTTTCTCCCTTTTCTGCCCAGCCAAATCTCCCCCGCGCCGCCACCCCCCCCTTCAAGGTCTAGCTCACAAAGCCTTCCCTCCCTCCTCCAGCGTCGGCCGACATCAGAGCTCTGGCCGCCTCTGGCCCCTACTCCGAGGAGCACAATTAGCACCTGACCAGCCACTGACCTGGCTGCCTGTCCTCGCCTCTGATTGTTTCAGAGTCTTAGTCATCTTTCCCTCACCACCTCCTTCATTTGTCTCCTCCACAGTGCCTAGCACAGGTTGGGCACACAGTAGGTGTTAATAAATGGCTGTTGAATTGAAACTCAGCAGCCCCTGTGAGGTCAGAACCCTCTCGAGCACCCCGACCAGCAGTTCCTTGGCAACCAGCACTGGGGCCTGAGCTAGAGGGCATGACTGACACGGCCACTATCACGGGCCATGTGAGGCTCAGCGGCCAGAGATTTGCAGGCAGGTTGGTGTTGATGAGAAAAGCCCCTGACCTCTAGGAAAGTGCCCATGGGATTCTGGGTACCTTGGATGAGTTTCCTTTCTCCCCTGCAGAACTAGTTTTCAGTCTGAGAACCTCAAGGGGAATAAATTGGCAGTGAAGCCAGAAACCTCTTTGCAGCTTAGAAATCCTGGAGAGATAACCAAGCCCAGGTTGGGGTCAGACCCAAGCTTGAGAAGAGAAGGCTGCCCAAAACCCTTCCCAGCTCCACAGGGGACCTCCAGGAGGTGGTGGGGGTGTGCCAGAGGGCTATAGGGGGGTTCGGGGGTGGCACTAAGTAATGCTATCCTGCCCTGGCACCCAACAAATCACGACACCTACAGCCCACCAAGGAAGCAGGTCTCCCTTTCCCGGTCATTCATCCAATTCCCAAAGCAGTTCAGACAGTGCATTCAGACCAGAACCCAGCCAGAGTCCCCAGACAAGGAGAAGCCTCCACGTCTAGGATGCCCAGCTCCCCACACTAGCTCAAGTATTCTAGCCTGACTTCGAATTATGGTTATTTATATAGATGACCTAGATGCTCTCCCCGTCTCCCTCCCACACCCTTCACCCCAACTCTGGCCTACAACAGAAGCTAAGCTATACACAGTCCTGGAAGGCCTGTGACATCTTCTTCACCTCCATGTTTTCTCACTGCCACTTCAGGGGTGCCTGCTATGGGGACTGGCTCTTGGCAAATGTTTGTTGAGTGGAATGAGCTTTAGGCACTGTATCAGATAATACCATCACGCTGGTTGGTGCTCACTGTGTGCCATATACTGTTCTAATAAACAGCTTATGTGTATTGAAGGATTTGATCTTCAGAGCAACCTTATGAGGCAGGGCTCACTTGACAAATGGGGCAACTGAGGCATACAACTGACTAGAATCACATAGCTAAGTAAATAGCAAAGCTGGGTTTTAGACTCAGACAGTCTGGCTCTAGGGATGGAAGGTAAAATGAGAAAGTTGGGGGTGGGGTTGGGGGGGTGGGAAGGCCCAAGGCCAAGCTTAGGAGCAGGGATTTCCCTGGGAAAGCAATCCCCTCAGCCTGCACCTGGCTGGGCCTCTTCAGGGACAAAAGCGCTGAATTTTGCAGGCTAGGGGCATTTTGGATAATCTATCAATCAGGCCTATGAATGAAAGACCACAACACCCTCATTTTTAGATCCCAACACAAGACAGAGAAGACAGAAGCCACTGTGCCACCACTTAGCACTAGGCAGGGGGAGAGTGGATTTCAGGCCCCCAGCTTGTCCAGGGGTGGGCGCCAGTTCCTGAGCAACCATCGAGCAAACAGTGCAGCAGTGGGAGGAATGCCAGACATAGTTGCAAACAAGCCACTCCTTCGGCTCACAGCTAGAGGCTGGGTGAGGGTGGCAAGGTGGAGCCTGCTCAACCCCCCCCCCCAAACATCTCAGGCTTTGAACAGCCCCAGAAACAAGCATGCGCAAGGCAGCCCCTTCCCCACACCGGCAAGGATAACAAGTCCTCCAAGATAGTTAAGTATTTCATTTAACTCAGGACAGCTCACCCGCTAGGCTGTTTCTGCGCTGGGTCTACTGAATCAATGGTTGTTGAGAAAGTGCTTTCTAACCGGTAAAGCCCTGTGTAACTGTGAAGAGGGATTTGCATTCTCACCAGGCATACATGTTCCCAGGCACTTTTAGTGCCAAAGTGTCCTGTCTCCCCCAAGGGGAGAGCTAGATCTCTTCCCTTCACCCCTCTCCAACCTGGCACTCAGGCCAGGGGTCAGCTTGCAGGGGGTGAGTCCCTGATGGGCGTGCCCACCAGCTGTTGGGGCCAGCAGTGGTGGCTCAGGCCCTGGGGTGGTGACCTCACTTCCGCTCCTACCTCCCCACCTCCCTAGCACTCCTCCCATTTGAGGCCCCACCAGGCCAAAATCGAGAAGTCCAAGGTTAACTGTTCCTCCCCGCTTTAAGAGCTAATTAAAATGATTAGCCACAATGAACTGTCAAACATTAACCAGAAGAAGCTGCAGGACCAGACAGGCCTCTATCTCCCGGCAGAGGGATGAGGGGCAGGAATGAAACTGCCATCAAATCCCCTGGCGGGGTGGGGGGTGGGGGGCAGCCAGGGAGAGCCTGGCTGAACCGAGGTACCAAGGGGTTAGGAGGTGACTCTGGTCAGGAAGGCCTTGTCCCTCCACACAGTCCTGAGGGAAGGGCAACAGAGGGTGCGGTGGAGGCACCAGACATTCATAAAGCGGATACCGCCTCAGCAGTTCCCCAAAACAAGGCGCTGCCGGCATGGCACCCCGCGCTGTGAGGCGGCTCAATCCCCTCGCCGGCAGCAGAGGAGGGAACAGAGAGGCGGGAGAAACCGGGAGAGCGGGAACGCGGGAGCGGGAAGGCTGGCGTCTTGCTCACACGGAAACTCTGGCCCCTGCCAAGAGGTCTCTATTTTGGCGATCCCATTATCCAAGTCATAGGTGTGTGTGTGTGTGTGTGTGTGTGTGTGTGTGCGCGCGCGCGCGCGTGTTTCACACCAGTGAGTGTGTGCTTTACACTAAGGCGCCTGGCCCCCCAGAGGCGCTAGGGGGCCGCCCAGTCAATCTGGCAGCCCCGCCACCACACGGTCTGACCTCCCGCCCTCGAGCGCCGAGCTTTCGGGGGGCCTTCTGTCACGATCTGCCCTGTCACGGAACCCTAGCGCCCGGGGCGCGGGAAAACCTGCCTCCCACCCTGGCTCGGGAATTCGATTCCGTTTCTAACCCCGGCTCAGAAGCCCGAGTTCCCCCACACACACGCGGTGGGGCGAGGCAAGGGCGGGACTCAACACGCCGCGGCTCTCCCACCATTCCCTGGGCCCCCAACCCCGACACGCCGGGGCCCGAGCGTCCCCGATCCCGCCCTGAGGCAAACTTTTCGAGGTCCCCGAAGGCTCGAAGAAGCGGCGCCATCGACGTACCTCAGGCCGAGTGGGCTCGGTCGCCGGGCTGGGGTCGGTCGCTGCGGTCCCCTCCCCGCTCTGGGGGCCCAGGCGAGGGTCCCCAGCTGCCTCACGCCCTCCCTCAGCCCGCCTTCTCCCCTCGGAAGCCGGGCTGGGCCAGTGGCGCCGGTAACTCGGCGCCGGCGAAAGGAGAAGTGGAAGTTGAGCTCGGCGCCCGGTCGGTCCCCGCGGCCGCCGGGGCCACCGTCCCCCTTCCTCCTTCCCTCCCTCTTTCCTCCCTGCCCGCCTGCCCCCGCGGCCCCGCGCCCGTGACTCACCTCGGCGCCGGGGCAGGCTGGTCCGGGCGGGCGAGGCGCAGGGCTCTCCCACACGTCGCGCCGCCAATGGCAAGTTGGAGGGCGAGATGCAAATACCAGGTGAGACGGCGGCGCCCCTGATAAAACGACTCCGGGGGGCGGGGTGGAGTGCGGGGGGAGCTGGGTGGCCGCCAGGGAGGGCCACGCCGAGGGAAGGGGCGGCGGGGGCGCCCGGGGAGGGGGCGCAAGCCAGCGGAGACCTGCACTGAGACACCCGAGCGAAAAGGGGAAATTGCACTAGAGACACACACGTCCCCGCAGGCGGCGGCTGGGGCGGGCGCGAAGGAGGCAGGGCGGGAGGGAGGGGAGAGCCGGAGGGAGGGACCGACGGGAGGGACCGCGGGCGGGCGGGGTGGGTGAGGGAGCGAGGGAGGGACGAGGCGTCTTGGTGGAAACAGCGCCCCTCCACCCCTGGCCCGCCGCGGTCGCCAGCACGGCAGGGGGAGCCGTGCCAGGGGCCCGTGCGGCCTCTCCTTCCCCTCACGGCTCGCTCGCCCCCGGGGACTGAAAGAGCAGGGCCCCTGCAGAGCCCACGTCGCGCACCCGTTTCTTGGTCCGCGCTCTTCAGTCCGCCAGCACGCGGCGTGTCCCGGGCTCTCGGCTCCCTGTCCGGGGCCCTTCCCGGAGGGAAGCCCCCACACAAGGCCTGGGAGAGAAATCTACTCCCCGGGGACCCTGGATGGCTATGTCCAGCCCCCTCGGCCTGCACACAAGCCGGTGGGCTTGACGCCTTTGGCCCACACCATTGCACTCCAGATTATTGAGCGCCTGCTGAGTTCGGACCTGACGGGAGGGCGAGGGCTGGCGGAGCAGGAGCAGGGGGCGTGAGGCCAGGAGATGCCCAGAGGATGCAGTTCAGGAGCTAGATGCCAAACACTGCGGAATCCTGGGCCAAATCGTATACTTGGGAGTGACTGGAGAGTTTGGGGGACTTCTTAGGGAAGTAGAGCCTAGGGCTCCCGGTGGGGGAGACCAGACAGAAATGAATCAGGGGAAGGGCTGGGTTTGGGGGGAGCCGGACTGCCACAGAAGGTGCAGAGGCAGCCAGAGTTGGGGTACTGGGGAAAAGTTCGTGCACCTCTTCTCTCTAAAGCCGAGAGCCCGTCTCCCATGCTATCTCCCCCTTACCCTCTCCTCTGACCTGCCTGGGCATCCATACAAGCCCCCACACTCCACCTGGTCCCACAGCTAGGAGGCTCTATGAGGGAGATGCCTGGAAATAGTCACTTCTTATGGTTCTACATAGTCTGGAGGAAGGGCCCATCCAAGCCTCAGCCCTGGCAGCTCCTTAGCAGAAAGCGGGAAAGGGGCCCCTCAGGAGGAAGGCCCTCTGAAGGGCAGGGTGGCCAAAGGGTCTGGGGTTCAGGGACATGCTCAACCACCAGCACCTGCTGCTTCCCCAGTCTCGGGAAAGGATGGTCTCTGGCACAGGACTAGGGCACAGGAAAGGTGGTGAACGATGGCAGTGAAGGCAGCTGCAGATTGTAGTTTTCTGGGGAAAAACCTAGGGGCTGGACTGGCGCTGGCCCTTGAGATATCTTGCCTACCTATAGCCAAGTCCCTGAAATAAGCACCAAGAGCAGATTTCCGTTTTTTTCTTTTCTAAGTGGCCGTGCTTTCACCAGGGGATTCCTGATCCTGGAGCCTCACCATTCTCTGCTGGTCTCTTGTCCATGAGGCTCCCCTCTCGAAATCGTGGTAGGTCCCAGCCATCCCTAAGCAACCTTTATCTTGACCTTGAGACTCACTAATAGATACAAACACACATATTTTTCCATTTTGCTAAGAGTTCAGTGGTCCCTAACATCAGACAGACCTGGTTTCCTATTCCAGCTGCACCATTTACCAGCTGTGTGTCTTTGGGCAAGTCACTTAAACTCTCTGAGCTTCACGTCCCTTATTTTTAAGTTGGGGATAATAAGAACCTACATCGAATAGCTGTGATGATTGGGTGCCTGGGTGATTCAGTTAGTTAAGCATGCGACTCTTGATTTTGGTTCAGGCCCTGATCTCAGGGTCGTGAGATTGAGCCCTGTGTCCAGCTCCGATCAGCGCTGAGCATGGAGCCTGCTTAAGATTCTCTCTCTGCCCCTTCTCCCCATCCCTCTCCAGAAGGAAGGAAGAAAGAAAGAAAAAGAAAGAAAGAAAGAAAGAAAGAAAGAAAGAAAGAAAGAAAGAAAGAAAGAAAGAGGGAGGGAGGAAGGAAGGAAGGAAGGGCGGGCTGCTGGGGTGCCTGGATGGCTCAGTCCATTGAGCGTCGGCCTTCCACTCAGGTCATGATCTTGGAGTCCCAGGGTGGAGTCCTACATTGGGCACCCTGCTCAGTGGGGAGTCTGCTTCTTCCTCTGACCCTCCCCCTCGTGCTTTCTCTCTCTCACTCTCTTTTACTCAAATAAATAAATAAAGCTTTTTAAAAAAGTGAAAAGAGGGCACCTGGGTGGCTCAGTGGGTTAAGCCTCTGTCTTTGGCTCAGGTCATGATCTCAGGGTCCTGGGATCGAGTCCCGCATCGGGCTTTTTGCTCAGCAGGGAGCCTGCTTCCCCCCTCTCTCTCTGCCTGCCTCTCTGCCTACTTGTGATCTTTCTCTGTGTGTCAAATAAACAAATAAAATCTTTTTTAAAAAGTGAAAAGAAAGGCTGTGATGACAATCGAATGAGATAACCTGTGTCTACAGCAGTGGTGCCTGGTGCCTAATAAGCCCTCAATCAATGTTAGCTACCTTCAGCAGCATCTTCATCCATGTTTCAACTTTTCTCAACCCCAGCTCTCAGAAGAATGTCTGATAAGGCCAGGCCAGAAGCTGCTGAGGGCTAATGGTGGATACCTCCTAAGAGTGTGGTTTAAACCAGAGCTGAAGCCTCAAGGCACAGAAAAGCCAGAGGAAAGGTCTTCTTCTTGGGAAGGGCAGGGGGAGAAGGCACCAAGCCAACCAGCTAACAGGTAACCGGTGTCTGCCCAAGTACCTGCCAATGACCTGGAGTCCACCTGTGGGAATCCCATAAGTTCCCACCTTCCCCAGCCACTGAAAACTAACCACAGCCCCAGGGTCTGGGAATTGTGGCCAAAGCAAACCCCACCCCCCCTTGATGAAAGTCTTGTGCTGACCTCGAGCTGGGAAGCCGTGGGCCGCAGCAGTGACGTCCCTGGCTCCATGGCTCCAGGTCAGCCAGGCTGACCTTCCCGATGACCTTGCTGCTCCCCAGCCTGCCAGCCCTTCCCCACCCGGCTCCCCGCTCTTCCATTTGCCCATTGGGTGAGCCCCAGCCAGGTGGGGCCTGCCGACTGAGATCACTACTCCTGACGACAGCCACGCTGTCTCTGCCAATGGCTCAGTTCCTGACTTGGCAGGAATTCCCCTTCTTGAGTTGCCTGTGGATGCCCAGGCTGCGCTGTCCCATCCATTGTGCACTTTCAGGCTCTCTCCTTCCAGCCTGTTCCTGCCTCAACTCCGATTCAGTCCTCTCAAGCCTCAGAACCTGGGTCCTTCCAAGAGCAGAGGGCCTCCTGGCTGCCCATAGCCTGTGCAGGGCCAGCTCACTTGCCACTCCTGGGTTCAACCTGCCTTTCCACCTTGGCAGCTTTCTCAGCCCTTGTTTGTCCCCTCTTTCAAGCAGTGCCTATGTTCCTCTGCAAATCACCCCAGGTTCTTTAGAGACAAACAAGGTAGCTGGTTGCTTCCCCCCTTCCCTTAACCCCTTGGTCTCAGCAAATTCTATTCGAACCTGTGGCTAGAACAAAACACCACAGTGCCACAGATTCTGTAGCTATGGCCCTGACTTTCCACTACAGATGCAAGCTAGAAAAGTCACCCATCAATCAGACTTTCAGAATGAGAAGCATATTCAAAAGCCCGGAGAGAAGTTATAATTTAAAAGAAATCCTCCCACCTGTGAAGCTGAGAAGCCCCTTGTAATCCTTTCCGTCCAAACAGCAATGATTCTTTTGTTGAAATGTTCAGTAACTCTGGATTTGCCTCTACTGGGCTTACATGACAAGGCCCTAGAAAGCTCCAAATGGCAAATAGAAATCTCTACATCCCAGGTGGTGACTGAGCATCATAAAAAGTGTTTCTTCTAAAAAGGTTGTTGTGTCGCAGGCTCCTGGATGGCTCAGTTGGTTAAGCATCTGCCTTCGGCTCAGGTCATGATCCCATGTTCCTGGGATCCAGTCCCACATCTGACTCTCAGCGGGGAGCCTGTTTCTCCCTCTGCCGCTCTCCCTGCTTATGCTCTTTCTCTCTCTCTCTCTCTCTCTCTCTCTCTCTGACAAATAAATAAAATCTTTTTTTTTAAAGATGGTTGGATAACTGTGAAAGATAAGAATTCCTTGAGATAGGTCATACCCAAGTGTTCCTTCCCCAGATGGTCTTCTCTTGCTCAGGTCCATCTTGGGAACTGACGAGGGTGGGAACCGGTGTGCCCAGGCCAAAGCACAGGCATGCAGATGGGAAGGTGTAGTTGGGAGCAACTTCCCAGATCATGACTTTGATCTGGCCAGCCACCTTCTTTGGCTGAGGCTCTTGGGAAGTCACTTGGTTCCAACCCCCGACCCCTGCACCCCCCCCCCCACGCCCGCCCCGCCACAACACTGCTCTCATTAAAATGGAGAGTTACACATTTCCCCTCCAGGCCTTGGCTGGGACAGGCTCCACCACCATGAGATCCCCTACAAAACTTCAGAGGTCCACTGGGTTTCACTTCTTGGAAGCCTGGATGGCAGTTCAGGGGTCTGCCTGGAGTGAGATGACAATGTTACCTAGCAGGTGCTGCGGTCCTTGAGTCAGTGCTCCCTATGTCCATCCTGGCTTTGGTGACTGCTGGGAGGAGCTGTTCCCACCGCATGCACTGCTGGGAGTGGGCCAAGTGTTGGGGAAACAGATTCAGTGCCCTTCAGGCCAGCCCTCTTGGGTTGGTGGGAGATTTTTGAGGTGGGGGGAGGAGGAGGGACCCAGTCATTTGATTCATTTGCCAAAAATGAGGAAGAAGTGGCTTCAAGCAGTGCTCAGCAAATGAGGGCAAGTCCCCTGGAGTCTACTGGCCTCTAGCCCCCATCCTGGAGCCAGGGATCAGCTTGGAAAAGTCCCCAGGACCAGGGCCAAGTGCAGGCACTTACTCTGGGGTACCTATCAGAGGCAGTGCGGCATCCAGAGTTTTGGGGCACTCTCCAGTGGAGTCGGGGTTATCTCCTCAACCTCTGCCATCTGCTAGGGTAACCCCCAGCTCGTGTGGCTGGCAGCCTCCCTGCGCTCTGTAGCCCTTGTGGAGATTCCAAATGACACTCCAAAGGCGCCTCCCTTCACGGCCTGCAAAGAAAAACGCGGGACCTTGGCCCAGTGGACTGCTGCTAGGGGGTCAGAGACCAGGATGGAGGCACGGAGGGATGGCAACAAATAAAGGCTTTCCTGGAGGAGGGCACCACATGATTTCTGTGGCCCCTTGAGTGTGCTGGGGACAGGGAACAGGAAGCCATAAACTGGGTGTTCCCTTCTCAGATGGAGAGGAGGCTCAGGGGAGTGGGTGAGACACCAGTCACATCGCCTGTGGTGCTACATGTTATATACAGGGTGAATAGCGACCCCTGGAGTTGTGCTCAGAGGTGGCAGTACGGACAGACCCAGGAGAGGTGGGGATGGGGTGCTTGGATGGAAGGAGAGATCGGGAAGGGCTCCCAATCTCTGAGACACCAGAGTGGGGGCACCAGGCCAGACTCCAGATCCTCGGGTCTGGGGATGAAGTAGAGGAGTGGGGAGAGGGTGTGAGGGGCCTGGAGGGCCTGAATTCCACCTACTTCACATCCTGCCAAGGGGCGGTTCTGGGCTGAGGTTTGTATCAGGGGGTAGAGGATTCTGCTTTTTGGGGATTGCCCTATCCCACAGGGAGGCTAGGACAAGCCAGAGAGACATGCACCAGACAGAGACCCAATAGGAACGCAGCCACGCAGCTTCCCCACCCTGCCGTCCCAACGGGGGTCGGGGTCGAGGGTTGTTGTTGTTGTCTCATCCAGAAAAAATACATTTAATGTCTATAAAGGTGCAGTATGAGTCATTTCACGGAATGTCTAGGCCCCTTCATTGGCAGCAAACAAACTTTCCAGCCCTCTTTTGAGGAAGCCATCCAACTCGGCTGCTGCGGCTGGTTTGTGTGAGAGAGAGTGTGTGTGGGGGGGTCTTCGTGTGGGATGGGTCTCCATAGGGTCTTGCCTGCCTATGTGGGTGTCCGTGTGGGTCTCTCAGATGTGAGTGAAGGTGCAATCATGGCAGGAAGGTGGGGTGTTTGTGTGTGCACGCGCATGCACACATGCATGTGTGTGAGCTTGACTCTTGGATGTGAGTGGCAAGTCCCCTCGTGTGTGTGTGTGTGTGTGTGTGTGTGGGCGTGTGTGTGTGTGTGTGTGTGTCTGCAAGGCAGCATGGTATGTGAGCCTGTGTGTCTGAGGGTGTCTACGTGTACATTTTTTTCCTCATCACTGCCAAATTATCTTCCCATCTCTCCCCTCCGAAGTGAAGGGCTGGCCGAGGGAAGCTAGTGATCCAAAAGGGGGGCAGCTGGGGAGCGAAGAGGGACTGGAGGAAAACCAAAGCAATTCCACTCGTCGGAGGAAAGTGTCAGCCAAGGATGAAACTGAAACCGAGGCACCAGCACTCTGGGATCGTCCTGGGGCTTCGGTTCCTCCCACTCCCCCGCCCCCTCCAGCGGGCTGTGGCGATTAGTCAGCCTGAAATTCCCATTCCTACAGCCTGGACTTGGGGGCTGAGGCTGTAAGGCTGGGCTAGAAATTGGCCTGTGGTTAGCACGTGACCCCATTAGCGCCCATTATCACATTAACACAAATTAGTATATCAGATCCTCTCCCAGTCACCTAGTGGGGCACAGGGCCAGGCTGGAGGGAGAGGCCACCAGCTCAGGCCCTGCTCCGTGGAGGAGAAGCCAGCATGAGGGCATCAGGGGAGTGGACAGGCTGAGGACCGCTGCAGGCCCGGTTAGGGACGGAAAGGGGATAGAGACATCAAGTTTGACAATATGATCCTTTTCCTAGGTCGTGCTCTGGGAGGAGACACCTTGGGGAGGGGGTTATTCGAAAGGAGGGGGTTTCCAGGAATAGCTGGGCACCGCCCTGTAGGAAGGAGGCCCGGGCTCTGAGGTCTGGGCAGGAGACAGACGGTATTTCTCCTGGCACACAGTGAAACACAGTGAAACGTTTAGGATCCTTCGGGTTGTTTTTTTTTTTAAACCCCTTTCCTCTTCTTTATGGAAAATCCTAAGGATAACTTTCTCAGATGGTTTTGGACATCCTGAAAGCAGGGGAGCTGGACTGACTGACAGAGGAGAAGAGGCACCCAGAACACTAGCACAGTGCCTGGCTTTGATGTCTTGGCACAGAAATGGGAGATACACCCTACCCATATATTTCTATGTTAAGTTGTATCATGGGAATAGCCACTGGAGCCTCTGGAAAGGTTGAGGCTGCAGCCCCCAACAACTCTTTTTTTTTCCAGCTTAAATGTGTCTGGCCACAGGTTATTTTTGTGCCTTGATACTTTTAATATGTTAACTAAAGAGCCACCACATAACCATGAACCAACACGGGAAGGTCAGCAGCATCATGACTTCTAGAGCTCAGGGCCTGCAAGGAGGTAGAACACAAAGCTCTATCTACTAAGAACAGGGTTGTAAGTTTGAGCCCCAAATGGGCCTCTTAGCTTTTTTTCTTCTATAGCTGCCAAAGACTGGATTGAGACGCGCAGAATCCCTAACCATAGGTTTACAGGCTTACATCCAGCCCAAAGCTGAACCCCTGCCCCTCACCTAGGCTGAGCCCTGGTTCCAGACTGCACCCCAGCCCCAGCGCCAGTCTATCCCGGTGCAGGAGATGCATTCTGGGTCTCAGGAGAGCCAGGCTAGAG